GAGTTTGCGTAATCCTCCAACATTGAGCGTATATGGAATATAATTTTCTTTCTTTTTTTAACTTTATTAAAAATATTTGGTTATTATTAAAAATACAATATTAAAAATTTCCAGCCACATGTCATTAAAGGAATGCAAAGAAAAGAGAAACAAAATTATAAAATATTTGGTTGCGCCCCGGTTTTTATCAATTTATAAGCAACCATTTGGTTGCGCTACTAAGAGATATCGACGCTCTGGTTTTAATACAATATTGAACCTGAATATAAAAGGCACTCAAATGTTGTTTAAAATGTATTCCATATGTTTTACTCAACGTTGTTTTCAGAGAGCAAATAACATTATAACATTAACATATTGAATAACGAAGGCGTGATGCAAAAAGTGAAATTCCAAAAAGCAAATATATTTTTTTTCGATAGTAAAAGTTTTAATGATACTAAAAACAATAAAACAGTTATTATTTTGTCTTGACGTAAATGCATTTTTCATCGCAAAAAAACCGATTGAATTAATTTGTAATCCCAATGCATAAATAAAATTTTGTTAAGAATAATTTTTAAGAAACGAAAATTATTCATATTTCACACTATATGCACGTTTATGTTTCATAGCACGCTGCGATCTACGCTTTAACCGTACCTAATTATTATTATATTTCTCATGAAAGCAAATGGGTATTAAGCCGAGTGTGTGTGGAAACGTATGCCGGTCACCGAAAGATAGTCCTATTAGTTTAGTAATATCGTTTCGTTGGTTCGGTAGTAATTGTAATAAACATTCAAACATTGTGTGGCAAAAATATTTTTCTTAATCTTGTTCAAATGTACTCATTAGCTTTTGCTATTTTTTTAAGAGTGTTTTAAGGACCATGGGTGATAACCCATAAGAAGTGTTCAATATATGGGGAATTCAAAAAAGGAACAGCACACGTCCAACGTGCAATTGTTGGTCAATTTCTTTCTCGCCTATAACAAAATTTGATTAACCGCGTTATACTTTTTACATTTCTTTCTATATAAATCAAGTAAAAAGTTTGCTGCGAAAAATGCAATTTAAAGCCAAGTCATCAAGACTATAAAAAAAAGATACGTGGGTATCTTTTATGACTAGCGACGGGTCACAACGCATTTGTTACCAAAAAATTGATTTATCTATATCGGTGCGACTTTAAATCTCCTTACTTGCCGATTGTCTGATCTTCTAAACATTCTCCATAAAATTGATTAGTTGAGGTTATGTTAACCCCCAGCGTCTACGACAGGCTTAATATATCCTAAGCTTTCCTAAAGATATTTGCGATCAATATTGAGATTATTTCGGACATCTCTAAAAACTGAATGACGATAGGTGGACATCATCAATAATTGCATCTCAAGGTAATCCTTGCGTGTATGTTTATAGAGTTCGGTTACTATGCTATATACTGATTTGGCATTTACATGCGTCTACCGGCAAACATTGCGCCTATAAGTATGCTAACATGCATTGACATACTTATAAATGTAGTTAGTTTAAATTGTTTCACTTTTTTGATATTATATGCTCGATTTGACGATCAAAAAATGACAAGTATTTGTAACTTTTTATAACGTACACCACTTCTGGTAAAAGGTTTATTAAGTTAACGCGGAGAACACGTAACACTTAACACGTAGAAGGACTTAAGATAGACTCACTTTTAATTATACCGATTGATTCAAAATCATAATCTGAATTGATCCAAATCTGTCAGTCCGTCCGTCCATCTGATGTCTGCCCATGTCTTCTTGTGTTCAAGCTACAAGTCGCATTTTTTGAGATGTTTTGATGAATTTTACAATGACGCGACGTGTTTTGACGCAGGAATGAAGGATAGTGAAAATGTTCTGGATCGATCCACTTTTTCAATCACTCCCTATATAACGCCCTATTCTGAAAAGTCGTTTATATCGAAAAAAATGAAGTTTTCTACATGTCCCGGCGAAAGTGGTCAAGTCGCAGTATTTCGGCATTCCAAATCGGTATAAAAATTTTAGACCGACTGGAGCAATTTTTCAATCACCTCTCATTTAATGAAAACGAAAGCGACAAAAAGATATAATTTTCAACACGAAGCATTGAAAAGCTTATAATTGTAAATTATCATAAAAATATTAACTGAAACAAAATTTGGATCATCTCGGTCCATTTTTTTGGATACTACCCTAATAAGGGTTTTCATGAAAATTGACCATTTGTAGAGAGCAGAAAAGTCTAGGTTATAGTATATGGTGATGAAAATTGACTCACAATAGTAATGTCATACAAAAATAAGAATTGTATTAGACAATGTGACGTAAGGTATTTAAAGGTCGGTCTTGCACGACTATAACGTTCTTATTTGTTTCAATACAAAAAAAAAACGAAAAGCTTCCCCCTTTGCTTAAAATTACCATTCCAATGAATTTTTTTAATCGCATTAAGCTTGTCGGTCTACACGACATCGTATTTACTCCAGAACGGCGATACCTTTTCTGAATATAACTTTGGCGCAGTCGGATTTCCGGCGACTGTCCGGAATTGCCTAAAGTTTATTTCTTTGATTACCAATTACTCAACCGATGTTCTTTATACAAGCAGTAGCGGTCACCAATAAATGGGAAAAGAGAAAAAGATATGGAGCGGCCGTAACCAAGTGTAACGAAGAATACGCCTAAGCACGTCGTGCAATTCTTTGTAGACATAACCAGTTTCACTGAAATAGAAAATCATATATTATAAAAAAAAAACCTTCTAAACCGTTCGGTATAGACTCTCTCAAGTCTTTCTCGGTTTTGCATACATGCGCAACACCTTTAATTAGCTTAAAACTTAATACAACACATTTAAATCGGAACGGAATAACTGCTGGAATTACATAAAATAAAAAAACGATCTTTTTTCCTTATTTCAAATTTATTAACCAAAAAGTTTCAATTTTTTACATTTAAAAGTGGTAACAATACATAAATTATAAAAAAAACGTACACCAGGTTCTTTAATAGAACAACAGAAGGAATTTAAAATTTCTATAGTATGAAAAAACAGAACGGCTACTTGCCATTTATAGTTAAGATTTTGTGTGTGGAATATTAAAAGTTATCTTGTGATTCGGATTTTGAAGGTTTCAACAACAGATCCGCTACCTAATATAACGAATGGTAGCCACACCTCAATTGGGCTCTTTGTGCAATGATTGTTCTATTGGGTCAAGAAAGGCGTTTTGAAGTTTTGGACTTTTGTTATCACATCTTAAGAGTGCAGCGTGCTGATGGCAGAGATGAAGATGTCAAAGGGATTGTAAGTCTTAGTCTTTTAACAGTAACTTAATTTTCCACACTTACCGAATTATTTAAATTAGAACGTTTACGTTTCAAAAGCGAAATAACGCCCAGCCAAAGTAAAAGTACCGAAGATGAGCTGCAAAAAGAAATTTCGAAGTCAAGCTTTGCGCGTATGGATGTGAGAGAATTTAACTTGGGTTATATTATATGCAAACTAGAAAACGTTTTATTCATATCCGATTAGTACACTACAGATGAGAAATATAGTTTTAAAATATTACAACGCACGACGTACTTGGAATATCAATTGTGGGTGTTTCCGAAACGCTTTATGATTCCACATTATCATATCTCGCTCGAACTGAAATAAAGATAATATACGATCAATAAAAGCAAAAAAAGAATACATCCTCGGCAAAGAATTAGAAATTGTAATTCAGCTTTTGAAGAAAATTTCGCAACTAATGTTTTGAGTTTGCGCATACATTCGAACGGATAGAACCATTGAGTTCGGCATTTGAAGATTCTAATTTTACCCAGTTCCTCACCGTAACTATTAATTATACGCGAACATGATCATAGTGCATCGTGCACCATGCATATGCACTCCTTTTTCTGATTTCGGATGGTTGGCTATGCTTGAATGGAAGCCACTTAATTGCCTTAGCTATACCTCAAACGCTTTATTCAGTAAATAATTTTTTTTTCTTTTCAATAGAATTGTCCTCACGGTCGACCACGGTTGAGCCCGCGATTTGCTGAGATATCAGCGTATGCTGACAGCAGCTCATCAATTGGCACGCCTCCTCCCTTATTTGAAGAAATGAAAACCGAACCTATTGATATGGAAACAATGGAAAGTATAAAACCCGAGTGTGAGTTGCCTAGAGTTGAGAACGTGGAAGAAGCAAGAGACGAAACTTTGCTTAAACAAGAATGGGATTTTAGTGAAAATGAATAGTCCACACCAACCACTGACGAGGATCTAGACTCGGACAATTCCTTTTCCTCAGACGAAGAGTCTCTCGCAGACTGCCCAAAACATCAAAACGTTAAGAAAACTGCGTCTCACTTAAAGTGTAAAGTCTGTGGTGCGGCATGTGCGAATCGACAGCTTCTTAAAGCCCATCATATGCGTCATCATCCACAGGAAAATCCGTTCGCTTGTAATATTTGCTCCAGTTCATTTAAATCAACGTTTTTATTGGCCCAGCATAAGCTGAAACACAATCGTCCCGACACCATGCAATGCCAGGAATGTGGCAAGTACTTTCGAAGCCAATTGCATTTGCAACGACATAATAAGAACTTTCATTTAATTTCATCCTATGCCTGCCATATTTGCCATCAGCAGTTCGAAAGTTATACTCAGATGAGATTTCAGTATCATTTGCGCCAACATGGCGAAAAACGTTTTCCCTGCACTTACTGCCACAAGGCTTTCCACCAGAAGATACATTTGATTAATCGCGAGCGCACTCATACTAAAGAACAGCCGTTTAATTGTGACTTTTGTGGCAAAGCTTACAGACAACAAACTGCTTGTCAAGAACACATGAAAACTTATAAAGATCCAACCCCATTCAAATGTAAACTCTGCCCCAAGTCCTTCAGTCAACGCTCCACACTGCGTATTCACATGCAAAAAACACACAACTTGATAAAAGCGTCTACAACACCTCTTAAAAGAGTGCGGTCTGAAGTTTTTGAATAGCAACATTTTCTCAACTTTTAAGTAGATTGCGGACATATTGCAAGATTTATTTTAACGATTCCGTACCGATATTAATATTTGATAGTGCTTTCATAGAAATATTTATTGAAGTTTTTCCAACCGAAACGGCTTTTCGGATCTTTCTTACTTCCAGCTGGCGCCAAGTTCGGCATTAGCCCCGCCTTCTGCGCCATAGTTACAAGAGAGCCTATCCTTTTTTGCTGACGGTAGCAAAGACCAGTGATGCGTTTAGGTAACATGCAACCATCTGAGCGAACATATTGTGATAAAATCAGTAAGTCGGTATGTTTAAGGTCTAAACCCAACGTACATTCAGGACAGAATTTCGGCTCACAAATCCCATATACGCTTATTCTCACATGGTTGGCATTTTTACAAATTATTGAGAACGACATATACGCTTATTCTCTAAAGGCACCACACTTTATACGCTTATTCTTTAAAGGCACCATAGATTATACAAATACAAGTTCAATTATTGAAAAGTGTTTTTTTCATTTGGCACTTATATACCTGGAAAACGAAATCACGCTTCAAAGTGGCTTCTTCGAAAATTGTTTAAAATAGTATATAACTTATCCTCTAATTTTACCTTGGGCTGATAAATTATCAAATCGCGTGTATCTCGTTTATAAAATTATATAAAACCATAAGTTTTGTTTAACTCAAAATCGCTCTCATTAATTAAAAGATGTCTAAAATATGTTACTTAAATACATAAATCCTAATGACTCATGTGACTCTAACGTTAACCGAATAAACGAAGCCTCCTAGAGAATAACGAGGTGTTCTCCTTAACTTTAACCTAACTAGGCCGTTTATCTTCCAGCCTAACGTCCCAATTCCACAGTTTAGTCTTATCTTCTTCAATTAATCTCTACCTTAAACGGCTCTCCACATTTATTTATTCTTTACGCGGACACTTTCCATTTACCAAACTTACGCCCATCCAGCATGACGGCTTCAATTAGAGAGGAGGAGGAAACCACATTTCCTCGAAGCCTTTCTGTCATGTTTGGCCTTGCCCATCGATTGACAACCACATTCGAAACCAGCTTTTATATTTTCGACTGTTATAACCATTCTGGCTTCCAGTCGATTTAAAATTGGTAATTCCTCCAATTACGTAATTTACTAAAAGTATATTGTGATAAAATTATGTTGGCTGTGTGGAGGACATAATGTTTGTTTGGAGTGGAAAGATTCCCTATGAATCTTTCTACATGAGTGTGAAATAAATTACCTATCTGCTCGGGTTAAGTCCCCCAAGTCTGTCTACTCTTTTTGGTGCCAATATTGAGATCGGCTAGAAGTAGTCCATAAGTAATTTATTTAGGCGGAAGGAACGTCTTTTTGGTCTGGCGAATAAAACGCTATGATGAACTGTTAAATTATAACAATTGAATTTATTTGATTTGGTTTTTTATACCTAAATTTTACAAAATACCTTATTGCTAACATACTGTCAACATAAAATTTTGACGGATTATTTTAATTAGGGCGCCTAGCGTCGTATTGCACTACGAAATGCAATTCTCAGCATCTACTTTGAAGCCCGACAGAATTATGATGAATTTGCATAATTCTGTAGCAAAAAAAAATGAAAACAAAAATTTTGTCGCACTTCACCTGGCTGAGTATTGCATTTCTTAAAGTAATACGATGCCACGCGCCACAATTAAATAATCAACATTTCTGTTAACGTAAGCATAATTTTAGTATAGAAATAAAGTATAAATAATGCACGTTTTCAATAAAAGAATTAATTGTTTTACACAGTTCAAAAAAAGCGTTTAACTCGCTTAAGGCGTTCAATCCGCCAAAATACAAAGTTTTAGGCAATTTAAAAAGCAGAAAGACTTGACGCTTATGAAACCGAGCAGGCTAGGGCTCTAAAACAGTGAAACTTACCTTCACTTACCTATACCTAGGGAAGGATTCATAGGGAATCCTCCCAAATACTGCACCCCATTCTATCAATACTACTCGCGGTTGCAGTAAAGCATTTTCATTTTTATTACAATATATATTTATAAGATAATAGAAGATAATGTACATATTTATATGGAAGGTATGATATTTATATATAAGATAAAATAATATAAAGTTAATAATAATAAAAAGAAACTATATATACAAAGAAAAGCTAAAACGTAGTGTGTGACTAAAACAACCCTGCGACTTTGGTGCTCACAGAAATTATGTTGAAAAAAGCAATAAGGAAAAACATTTATTATATACAGATTTTCAGTATCCATGGGTCAAATGTTGTCAATAACCCTATGAGTATTGTTTTCGTTAATTAAAAGTATGGTTAAGCGACTAGTTTATGAACGAACCTTAATTGGAATGCTTACACGTGTTGCACATGGTTTTATACATTGTTGTTAATTGCAGTTGTTGTTATACGTTTGTAATGGGAAAAGGTGATCCCTTTTTCATAAAAATTTTTGTCATCCCAGCCACTGACTAGAAATTGCATTAATATTTTGAATGTTACTGCTAGTTGATATTTCTTAGAAGCAAAGTTCGAAGAAAATTTAAAAGTAATAGCACTCTTTTTCGCTTTCAATTTTTAGGCTAATTTTCGAGAAATTCTGGCCTATAACAAATGAACTAAGTAATTACATCTAAAATCGTCAAATATTTATTGTCTCCAAAGTTTTACAATACATATTCTTTAAACAAGTTAATTTCTCAATTTTCTTTTTCAAGCGAAATGTAAATGTTTTAAACATAAACTTAATAAGTTGATAGGATAATATGAAACTAAAGTAATTTGGTCGGCTTTTTTTCGCATTCTATGCGTAATTCGGATAAAGAAGCTACTGGGAACTGCTTATGTAGGGCGATAGCTAGGTTTCATTTCCGAGTCTTTATCTTATAAGCTATATGCACGCACAAAAGGTGCAAGAAACTCACTCTCAGAATTGTCAAAAACGTCCTAAACAAAATTACTGACGCCTTGTGTTAACATTGGTTGTTTCGAGTTAATATTGGTCAGGCGAAAACGAGCCCGGAATCTGAAAGATTCGTTTCGCCTTGGCTTTACGATCGCTTTGGCCACGCAAAGTGTGCCGATATTATCGGCCGTGCCGCTGATGCAGACGTTGATCCCTCGAAGGGACTGCGATGGTCATGTCTTGACTCTAGGAAGCGGGACATAGGCTTCTACAAACTGTTCACGCAGAAATAGTTTCTCTGAATTGAGTAAAAATCTCGGCTCCTTATGGGAAAAGTTTCAGATCATTAAGACTAGGTTTGATGAGTGTCGATTTATTGAGCACTCCTCCTCTTCCCAAGCTAGCAAAATCACAACTCGTAGCGTAGCGTGTGGTACGTCACCTCTAATTTCTCCTCAATCCGATTCGTTGTTGCAAGCTAGCGCTTCCACAATGTTCTCAAGGACCATCAGCGTTTCTGATATGGGTGAGTCGGTCTGTAACAAAATAGTTACAAATAATCCGGCAATTGCTTCTGGTTTAAGCTATGCTGAAGTGGCAAGAGTGTCGGCTCCTAGTGGCGTCACTTACTCAACTCAGGCGTCGCCTAAATCTAATAAAGAGCAATATAAATCATCCTCTCCCCCTGGCTGTTCGAGTGTGAACGCTAGTCACCAAACTGGACATGTCGCACAAGCTGCTCCATTGGTAACCCCATCTATATTCTCTCCAACTCAAAACTCCTCAGCCGCGAATCGTATTGCTCCTAGCTGTAATGACTTTTGCTTGACGGCAGTTCTTCCCAGAAAAGCAATATTTGTGTCAAGACTGGCACTCGATACATCTGTGGATAACATAAAACGTTATCTGACGGCGAAAGTCCCATTAGTCAATCTAAAGCGGATTAGTATTTTTAAATTGGCTCCGTCCCAATCTGGACCAATCCGATTCTTTCAAAATTCCTTCTCCGACTGAAAACATTGATATGTTGTTAGATAAACCACTGTGGCCAGTTGGATCCTTAATAAAGGAATTTATCCCTTGGGATCGTCCCTTTAATACTAACCCAGTAGTCCTTTCGCCTTCAAAAAACTAAATATTTCTTCAGACTCACTATTTCCCATTTATCAAAATGTTAAGGACCTAAATTCAAAAATTCGTTCTACCTTCCTAAATTCAGTGGGCACGGAGTTCTCCTGTTTGGCCTTCACTGAAACTTCTACATTCGTCTGAACTTTTCCACAATTCTTTCCAGATGAAATGATTGATTGGCTGGCATTGGTGGTGGTGTACTAATTGCTATATCTTCGTCATTTCCGTCTTTTAGTTTACCTGAGGATCCTTATCATCCAGCAATGTATATTTCCTTTCATCACAAGCATGATGGTTCGTTGAACTGTTTTAATGTTCCAAATCCAACTTTTTCAAATAAATATTACGATTTTCATAAAATCAATGTTGTATTGCTAAAATATCACCTTTCACATATAAGGCTTGATTCCTCAACTGAAAGTATTGAAATCTTATTGTCATCGTTCTACAATACATTCAATCTGGCTATTGCTGCAGCTTTTCCGATCAAGTAGTGCCGAGCTCGAAGCAGGTGTTCCCCGTGGTTTAAAAAGACAATTATATATTACAAGAACAGAAAAAACACGCTATTCCAAAAATATTCAAAAGGGGCTCTGCTCCTGACTATTTCGCTTACTCCGTGGCAACGCATTGATTTAACTCCCTCAACCACCAATATTATTACAGGTACCTTCAGTTCATCCTCTCTGTTTGCTAATGCTAAATACTTTTTTAAATTTGTTAGCTCAAAAAGAAAAATTTCCGCACATCCTCCGCATGTTTCTTTTAATGGGTCTGATTCCTCGGATGATTTTGAAATCTCAAATCTGTTCGCTGAGTACTTCCGTCGAAACTTTTCGACTGCTAATTCCGATTTATCCGCAAACTACCCATATTCTATAACTAACTTGGTTTCAATTCCTGATTCGATTATTGCTGAAGATGATATTTTTAAAGGCTTGAGCTCTCTCTGCGCCTGGATCTGATGGAATTCCATGATGTGTACTTAAATCTTGCACTGCCGAGCTATATGGTGTTATCTCTAAGATTTTTAACCGGTCTTTGAATTTAGGGGTTTCACCTTTGTATTGGAAGAGTAGTTTACTTATGCCCATTCACAAAATCGGAAGTAAACAATTTGTTGAGAACTATAGAAGCAACCAAGTTGAGTCTCTTGCCTAAACTGTTCGAGCGAATTGTGACTCAGCATTTGGCGTTTGCCATTTAGTCGTGTATTTCTGCTCACCAGCATGTCTTTCGGACAGGGAAATCTACGGTCACCAATTTGATAGCGTTTACTTCTCATGTTTTCAAGGCTTTTCCTAGTGGCTTTCGCGCAGATGTAATATACACTGATTTAAACATACTTATCCTTAAACTTACTTATCCTTAAACTCCAAACCTCTGGCTTCCCTTTCCACCTAGTGAAATGGACAAGCTCTTATCTGCACAATAGATCCTTCAGATATTTAAGTTCATCACCTCGGAGCAATTCCCCGTGACGTCTGGCCTACATCAAGGCAGCCACTTACGTCCCATTTTATTTAGTTTATAAATTAATGATCTCCCATCGGTGATTAATTCCAGTCAGATCTTAATTTACGCTGGTGATGTGAAACTGTTTCTTCCTTTTCTATAGAATCGCAATCACATCAGCTTCAAAGTGACTTGAATAATTTGGTTGCATGGCGCTCTTTGAATCTTCTGAAACTAAATCTGAGTAAATTTAAGAGGCTTTCTTTCTCTAGAAGAAAGTCATTCATTACTCAGTATTTCATTGATTCGCATAAGTTGAAGGACGTCTATACTTTCACAAATTTAGGCGTTCTATTTGACCATAGATTGGGTTTTAACTTGCACATTGAGGTCTCGTTAAGCAAAACTAGGCCCGCGCTTGGTTTTATAAAGTGATGGTCTAAAGAACTTGATGATCCTTACATTACTAAAAGGCTGTACATGTATTTGGTTAGACTTACACTTGAGTATGCCTCTCTTATGTGGTCTCCTTCATATAGGGGCTATGCAGATTCAATTGAATCTGTTCAAAAGCAATTCTTTTTGTTTGCGCTTGAGAATTTAGGTCGGGATCCGATTGCCTCTCTTCCCTCCTATGAAAATAGGTTGCTTCTGTTGTCCTTACCGTCTCTCGAGAAGCGTAGATTTGCTCTTGGTGTTTCCTTTGTAATCAAAGTAATAAATAGTGCTATTGACTTGCCTGCATTACTTGGTGAGATAAGCTTTAATGTCTCCAACCACTTCTCTAGGCTTCTCTTGGTTAATCTTAGTCAATGTAAATGTAATTATGAGCAAGAACCTAAATGATCTCTATCACTTATTCTCATTATCGAATTCTTTAAAGTCCATTAAAGCAACATTGCTTAATGAGAGTAATTTACCTATATCGTACTTAAACTAGCTCTTAATGTTATAATGTCACGATGAGTCGAA